GGGAAAGAGGGAGAGGGGAGGGGGAGACCAGGAGGACAAGGGGAATGGGAAGGAGCAGTAAGTGAGCAGTGCCCCAGGCAGACCAGACCCCTGGGAATGTGCTATGGGGCCCCTCCCCCCAGCCCAGGGGGCTGAAGTGCACTTGCATGGCTGGAGCTCTAGGTTTGCAGTCATGGATCCTGTGCTCTTGGAGCCCCTGCTCTGGCTGTCCTCCCCTCCTCTGGGCCCTGGAGGTCGATGCAGAGGCAAGTCATGAGGGATTGTCTCCAGCCCTATCCCAGGCTCCATCTCACTGGGCCCCTTGCCTCCCACCAGGCGAGCCCCAGAAGGTGCCACAACCTCTCTCCCACGAGGGCCTGGAGCAGAACTCTCGGGCACACGCTGAGGTCCAGGAACGCATGGTGCCCATCCGGTAACTTCCCCAGCTGGCTGGGGGATGAGGGGACATCCTGGGGGCAGGGTCGGGCACGGGGACAGGAGAGTAAGGGGTGGAATCACAGCACCCCTGCACTCTCCATACCAGCCCCACCCTAAGCCCAAGGGTGGGGCTGGGAGGAGAGGCCACCCCTGGAGCAAGGGAAGTTGGGGGAGCTCCCTTCTCATCCAAGGCTGGGGCCCCTTTCTGTACATCCCCTCCCAAAGAGCCTGCTGCAGCCCCCATCTTATCTTGAAGCTCGGCCTCCCATACCCCAAAAGTGGAAGGGTGGGGCAGACAGCTAACTCCACTCCATGGCCCCAGGATGGAGGGCGCTGCCTGCCCCAGGGCAGGTGCAACGGAGCTCTGGGACATCCACAGCCACGTGTTCACAGAGACCAAGCACAGGACATATGTGTACCAGGCCAGCGACATGTATGCCACAAGTAGGTGGGGGCCCAGCACTTTACACGTGTGCCCACCATGCCCTGGGCAAGGGGGGACATTTGCATGGAGGGGCCAGCAAAGCCACCTGGCATGCCCCAGCCTTACTGTGGCCAGGGGCCCTGCTCTCCCTCTCCCTGTGTCCCCTCAGAAGGCATCACTGGGAGGGGAAATGCAGGCAGCAGTGACCTTTTCCCCGCTCAGAGTTAGCATATTCTGTGCGGCCTGCCCTCAGAGAGCCGAGGTTGAAGCAGGAGAGACAGGGGTTAGACTGAAGGAAGCACTTCCAGACCATCAGGGGCCTGGGGGGAGTCAGGATGGGGTCACTTTCACTTGGGAGGCAGGTGGGCTTTTTCACCCTGGGGTATATCTCGGGGCCTCTCTGCCCACCTAGGGTACCAGGACACACCGGGGGTTACTGCCAGCCCACCTGGGTCTGGGTCTCTGTGAAAGTAGGCCGGGGATCAAAGATTTCAGCACAGGACAGGCTGTGGTGGGACAGAGCCAGGCTCCTTCCCAACGGCTCCCTCCCCTACCCCCAGGGCCCCCATCCATGCAGGTCACCATTGAGGATGTGCATGCCCAGAGGGGCAGCGTGGCGCAATTCCAGGCTGTCATTGAGGGCAACCCGCAGCCCACGGTGACCTGGTATAAGGTAGGGACAGGCCAGGGTTGGGGTCCTGCCGGCGGGAGGGGGAGTGTGTGAAACCCCACTGGACTGGACACAGCACTCACTGAAGGTCATGCTGGGCCGTGGTGCTGGGGTCACCCATGGTGGGCTGATGGCCTCCCTGCCCTCCTGTGTCTCCAGGACGGTGCCCAGCTGGTGGATGGCCCCCGGCTCAGCCAGCAGCAGGAAGGAACCACATACTCCCTGGTACTAAGGGATGTGGCCCAGCATGATGCTGGTGTCTACACATGCCTGGCCCACAACGCTGGAGGCCAGGTGCTATGCAAGGCAGAGCTGCTGGTCCATGGGGGTGAGTGGGGGACCCCTTCCCAGGCCTGTCTTGGCTCCACGCAGGCGTGTGGGGCTGTGGGTATGGGGGTCCTGTGAGCCCCCCCAGGCTCGGGCACTATAAAGTTGGGGGACAGAGAGACGGGGTGGTCATCCTTGCTCACACCTACAGCTTCCCCCTCCCTGGCTACAGGCGACAGTGAGCAAAGCTCTAGGAGGAAACTGCACTCCTTCTACGAGGTCAAGGAGGAAATTGGGAGGTATTGCCCGCCCCCCATCCCAGCCCCAGGAGCCTCCCCCGCTGGACCCCCACCCCCTAAGACCCTCATCCTCAGCCTCCCGCAGTTCCTACCCCAGGGTTTCCATCCAGGAGCTCCCAGCCCTCCCCCGCACTGCACCCCTACAATCCCCACTTCAGCACTAGCAGAAGCCCACCCTGCCCCCCGGAACCCCGCCTCCACCGAGTACCTGCCTCCTCCAGCCCTCACCTTCTGGAGCCCCTGCCTCCTGTGAACCCTACCTCTTTCCGGAGCCCCCGCCCACAGAGTACCTGCTGCCCCACACCTGCCGGGAATTCCGCCCCCTCCAGTACCCACTGCCCCAGCCCCTGCTCTCCCGGAACCTCCCTTCTCAGGAGCTTTGCCCCCTTCCAAACCCCGTCCCCCAGGAACCCCACCCCAACGCACTGTCCCCTCCTCCCAGGGGTGTGTTCGGCTTCGTGAAGCGGGTGCAGCACAAGGGCAACCAGATGTCCTGCGCCGCCAAGTTCATTCCCCTGCGGAGCAGGACACGTGTCCAGGCTTATCGGGAGCGGGACATCCTAGCAGGGCTGAGCCACCCGCTGGTCACTGCACTGCTGGACCAGTTTGAGACCCGAAAGACCCTGATCCTCATCCTGGAGCTGTATCCCGTCTCACCCCAAGGGTGCAAGGTGGCGGGGGGAGGGGGATGTGCCCCAGACACACAGGGGTCCGGAGGGCTGCGTGGGGCTGTGGTTTTGGTGATCCCAGCCCTGCCTGCCTCATGGGGGCAGCCGGTAACGCTGGCGATTCGATGCTTTGTGACTAACCCCCTCCCCGACCCCGAACACACTGCACAGACCTCATAGCTCCTAGGCCTTTGGGCCAGGAATTTGGGCAGGGCTGCGTCCAGAAGGTCCAAGATGTGCCCCTGTGGGCTCCTCCCGCTGTCCACGTTGCCTTTCCAGCAGGAAGTTTGGACTTCTTACCTGGCTTCTGCAGGCCCCAAGCGCTGACGCTGCTTTGGATGCCTACCCATGCTCCAAGGAGGGGCACACACCCTACCGGATCCATCTGCCACTCGTGGCCCAGCTGAGGGTCTCTGAATGCTGTGTGTGCTCACCACACCCCCACCTCCCCAGTCAGCATCCCCTGGGGATGGGGAGGGGGGGACACGTGGGCTCTGTGCAGAGGGGAGAGGATACCTCTGCTCCCACTCTGCTGCTGCCCACTGGCCTCAGCCCCTCTACTTGGGGCATCTTGTCCCTCACATCCTCCTCAACTGCAAGCACCAGCCTCCCTAGAATAGCTCCCCCCCACCGCCCCGAGATAAGACTCCCCCCAGCTGGTGTGAGGCTATGAGGGTTCCAGACCCTAGAGCTTTCCTTGACAGTCCCAGGTGCTCGTCAGAGGAACTGCTGGACCGCCTGTTCAGGAAGAGTGTGGTGACAGAGGCCGAGGTGACTGTGCTGCCTGGGCTGCCCACCCAGCTTCAGGGCAGCCTGCATGCCTGGCCAGGCCTCCTGCTTCCCCTGCCCAGACCACCTGTCCCTCAGACTAGCTCCCCAGCATAGTACTCCCCACCCTTCTAGGGTATTCCAGGGCCTCACAGGGTGTTGCAGCTCCTGTCGGGCTTTCAGAGCCCTCCCGTGCCCGGGGCTCACTTCTTCCCCACCCCAGCCTGCACTGAACTAGCTGTGGCCAGGCCTCGCCTGCTCTCCCAGTCGCCTCTTGCTTTGCACAGGCTGCTCCACACACCCAAACCTGCCCCGCCTTGGGGCTCAGAGGAATCCCCCAGCTACAGGGGTCCGTGAGGCTTTGCATGTGACCTGCCCTGTGGGACCACCGTCCCAGGCTCAGGTCTGGAGGGGATTGGAGGCCGTGTAGGTGGGAGCAGGCAGGGAGGTAAGTAGAGGGGGTTCTCGAGGCTGGCTCACCTGAGCACGAGCCTTTGCTGCAGGTCAAGGTCTACATCCAGCAGCTGGTGGAGGGGCTGCACTACCTGCACGGCCAAGGCATCCTCCACCTGGACATAAAGGTATGCAGATCCCTGGTGCCCCCAGAGCCCAGTGAGGGGCAGGTGGGAGCCTGGAGCCTATAGGCTGAGAGGGTGCAGGCCCAACACATCCAAATTCCCTGTCAGGATTTCCTCACCTCTGGGGACGGGGAGCTCACTATGTTATGATGGCCCCTTCAGGTGGGGTGCAGGTCTGATGGAGCAGAAGCTGTCCCCAGATGGCACTGAAACCTGTCCCCGGGGCTGCCCACTACCCCATGCTGGCCGCACCATCACTGTAGGGCAGCCCCTCAAAGACCCTTGAGTGTCCTCCCCAGGCCCGGCAGCCCTGGGAGTCACTTCCTTAGGGTACGGCCTCACCCACTCCCGACTCTGCCTGACAGCCCCCCAACATCCTGATGGTGCATCCTGCTCAGGAAGACATTAAAATCTGCGATTTTGGCTTTGCCCAAAAAATCACCCCGGCAGAGCCACAGTACAGCAAGTACGGCTCCCCTGAGTTTGTGGCCCCTGAGATCATCGAGCAGACCCCTGTGAGCGAGGCCTCCGACATCTGGTGAGTGGGGGGCACCCGCTCTCTGCCTCCTCCTCCCCCTCACCAGGCCAGGTCTGGGGTGACTCACGGCGGTGGTTTTTTTCCTGCAGGGCCATGGGGGTCATCTCCTACCTCAGGTGAGCAGACCCCAGCTCCTGTCGGCTGTCTCCTCCAAAGCCGGCCCAGACCCCTCCTCAGCAGGCCCACGGGAAGCTGTTGAACTGCTGGCTGCTCCTCAGATCAGAGACCCAAGACCTAAGGGGCAACTATCTTGAGAACATGCAGTCAGCCAACCCCGATAAGGGGTTTCTGCCAAGTGCTTTTCACACACACCCTGTCACAGAGGAGCTCTGCTGGGTCACGGGGCAGAGCACTGAGCTGTTTGCCCTAAAGGGTATAGGTAATTTGTCCAGAGCCCCCTTATAACAGTTATTGCTGCCCTGAGGACGCTGGTGGTATAGACTGAGCCTGGATTTCCTCTACAGGTGGAGCCCTGATCCCTCCACCCCCGGCTAAGGCCAGGTGCCCCCTCCAGACTGACCCTTGATCTCTGCCCCAGGCTGAGCCTGGATCCCTACCCCAGGCTGACCCTTAATCCCTATCCCAGACCAAGCCTGGATCCTCACCCCAGCCTGGGACCAGATACCCACTCCAGGCTTAGCCTGGATCCCAGCTCCAAGCTGAGCCAGGATCTCTGGGCAAATCTGAGACATATGCTGGGCTGGATGACAGTGGTGTTCAGGACTGGATGACAGTGGTGTTCAGAGGCATCTCCAGTCAGGGCTGGGAGCCCCCAGCCACCACCATCCCCATGAGACCCAGCACTCCGTGTCCTGGCAACCTGCCTCCCATGGACCCAGAAATTCAGCTCACGACTGAAGGCTAGTCATGTCTCTGATTTCAGCCTGACCTGCTCGTCCCCATTTGCTGGTGAGAGTGACCGAGCAACCCTTCTGAATGTCCTGGAAGGGCGGGTGTCCTGGAGTAGCCCCATGGCCACCCACCTCAGTGAGGATGCCCAGGACTTTATTAAGGCTGCTCTGCAGAAGGCCGTGGAGTGAGTACACACGCCCTTCCCTCTGCCTGAGGTCCTCATTCTTGCCCCACTGACCACTTGGACTGATCCCAGCCTTCCCCTCCCCACAGGGCCCGGCCCAGTGCCGCCAAGTGCCTTGCCCACCCTTGGTTCATGGTGAGTAGGCTAAAAGCGGGCTGGCCTGGCTCATGGGGAGGGAAACTGAGGCCAAGAGGAATGGGGGCCTGCCTGGGCCACAGGGTGCACCAGGGTCTCCCCGCAACGTGCCTCTCTCGCCTGGGCTCCCCCAGAAATCTGTGCCTGCGGAGGAGGCCCACTTCATCAACACCAAGCAGCTGAAGTTCCTCCTGGCCCGCAGCCGCTGGCAGGTGAGCTGTGCTGCCCTGTGGAGGGGGTGAGGGGTTGGGGTTGGGGTGGGAGGCCAGAGAGGGGAACGAGGCCCAGAGGGCTGGCTGGCTGTGTGTGCCCCTTCTGGGTCTGGGAGAGCAGGGAAGTGGGGCTGGGCAGCCTTCATTTCAGGTCTTTGCTACCTGAGACACCGGGGTGAGGTGGGGCAACATGCAGCATCCCTGCCAAGATGGGGACACACTGGCAGAGCCCTGGGCCCACGTCTTTTAACGCCCACCATTTCCTGAGCACCCCTCTGGGCCCACCGAGAGCTGGGAAGGCAGCGGGCAGCCAGCTGACCACCCCCTGTCCTCCACAACCCCAGCGCTCCCTGATGAGCTACAAGTCCATCCTGGTGATGCGTTCCATCCCGGAGCTGCTCCAGGGCCCGCCCGACAGCCCATCCCTCGGGGTGGCCCGGCACCTGCGTGGTGATGTCCGTGCCTCCTCCAGCAGCTCTTCCTCCTCCGACAACGAGCTGGCACCGTTCGCCCGGGCCAAGTCGCTGCCCCCCTCCCCGGTGACCCACTCCCCGCTGCTGCACCCCCGGGGCTTCCTGCGGCCTTCTGCCAGCCTGCCTGAGGAGGCCGAGGCCTGCCCACCCGCCTCAGCGTCGCCCCAGGGTGCACAGCCACCAGCTGCCCTGGGCTGTGTGCCCCGGCAGAGTGTCATCCGAAGCCTGTTCTACCAGCAGGTGGGCGAGGCCCCAGAGCTAGGGGGCCTGTCCGCAGGCAGCAGACGGCACCCCGTCCGGCGGCGGCACCTTCTCAAGGGTGGGTACTTCTCGGGCGTCCTGCCCGGCCTTCGAGAGCCACTGTTGGAGCACCGTGCGCTGGAGGAGGAGGCTGCCAGGGAGGAGCAGGCCACCCTGATGGCCGAAGCACCCTCCTCTGAGCCCGCCCTGCGGATGCCCAGTGCAAGCACCCAGGAGGCCTCTGGCTTCAGCCGCTCCCTGGACCTTGACAGGCTGACCACAGCCAGCCCCTCTGCCAAGGCCTGCAGCAAGGGGCAGTGTTCCGCTCTGGGCCCCTCGAGCCTTCAGGGGGCCCACGGAAAGAGCATGCCGGGAGGGGATGCACGTGCCAGGGAGAAGGAACATCCAGAGGGGCCCCTGCAGGGGCTGAGACCACTTCCGCCCACCGGTGGTGATGGGTGCTCTGCTCAGCAAGAGGGGTCATTGCAGGACAGCTGTGGAGGGCAGGCTGCCCCTTCTTTTCAACCCCAGAGGAGTCCTGCCCCCCAGGACTGTGGCACCCCTGCTGCTTTGGCACCACAATCTCCTGGCTCCTTCCCCCCAGGGCACTGCACAGAGCCGCTCTTGACATCCCCGAGCCCTTTCTTCTCAGGAAAGCCACAGGCCTCCCCCTCCCCAGCCCAAGCAAGCCCCCAGTCAGACTCTGAGAGAGGGCTGAAGGACACCCCTCTTGCCGGGAGGCCTGATCCACCCAAACCCCCAGGGCCAGCCTCCCATATGGGCATGGAGCCCGGCCCCTCCCTGGACACTGAAAGCCTGTCCCAGGAGACAGAGGGCCTGTCCCAGTCTTCGCCCAGCCCACAGCGGCCTCAGGAGCTGGCGACCACACGGAAGTTCTCCCTGGGATTCCATGGGGGCTACGCGGGGGTGGTGGGCTACGGCACTTTTGCCTTTGGTGGGGATGCCGGTGGCATGCTGGGTCAGGGGCCCCTGTGGGCCAGAATGTCCTGGGCTGCCTGTCAGTCCTCGGAAGAGGAGGAGGCAGGGGCCGAGAGCCCACCACCCCAGGCCAGCACAGTGCCTCTACCTGAGGGTGGCAGGGCCCTTCCGAGGGCCTCCCAGGAGAAGAGCTCACGGGAAGACTTAAGTGGGGGCTCTCAGGTGTCGCTCGTACAGATCCGGGACCTGTCCAGGGACCTGGAAGCGGCTGACACTGTGTCTCTGGACATCTCGGAGGTGGATCCTGCCTACCTCAATCTGTCTGACCTGTACGACATCAAATACCTCCCATTTGAGTTCATGATCTTCAAGAAGGTCCCCAAGCCTGTGGAGCCAGAGCTGCCACCCTCCCCTGAGTCTGAGGCTGAGGAGGAGCTGGCTGAGCTCCCAGAGGCCGCGTGGCCGGGCATTCTGGGTCCGCCAGCAAGCCTGGAGATCACAGAGGAGCCAGAGGACATGGAGGCCCTGCTCGGGGAGGTTGCTGGTGGCAGGAAGCGCAAGTGGTCACCCCCTTCCAGCAGTCTCTTCCACTTCCCCGGGAGGCAATCACTGCTGGAGGAGCCCACAGAGCTGGGGCTACGCCAGAGAGTGAGGGCCTCGGTGGCCCACATCTCCCGCCTCCTGAGAGGCAGGCCTGAAGGTTACTACCCCCACCCTGCCCCAGGACTGGGCACATCCATGTTCCCCACTCTGCACCTTGGGTCTCCTTGTCCAAAAGGACAGCTCAGGAGCTCACCTGAGTGATGCAGGAAGCCCTCCCCTGTCCCGGTGCTGCCCACACCTCCCGGGACACAGTGGCTTGTTTTCGAGGTCACCTTTGCAGCTTCGATCCCTCCCCATGTGCATGTGAGGCCCAGTTGTAATTCAACTGCAGTTACACCCCTGCGGAAGTAGGAACCAGACCAGCCCTCCCTGATCCCTGACCCCTGGGCCCTCAGCCACGCCTCCCCAGGCACCTGTGGCCCCTTGAGCTGCTGCCCTTACCTGCCCGTGGTGGCCCTGCCTAGGATGGGCTGATGCTGATGGGGTAGGGAGGGTGGTGCCCTCTGCAGCAGATGTAGCTCGTTTTCAATAAGACCCCCTGGGATCTGGGCTTTTCTGCCACATGGGAATCCCACAGTTGGCCACAAGGGGCCCCAGAGCCTTCCTCCCATGCTCCCAGAGGAGCCAGGCCCCTAACGTGTGACCTCTCATGGCCACTTCCTTACTGCAGGTCTGGAGAAGGAGGGCCCCCCCAGGAAGAAGACAGGCCTAGCTTCCTTCCGCCTATCAGGCCTGAAGAGCAGGGACCGAGGTGGGTACACTGCCCAGGGGCTGGGCCCCCACTGCAGCCCAAGGGACCTTACTGTGGGGAAAGGGAACCCTGCCAAGACAGTGCAGGGCGGGGGTAAGCTCGCACCCATGGGGGCTTGAGTACACCGGGGGACTCTGGCGCCCCAGCAGTCACGGCCCTGCAGTCCTGGAAGCCTTCCTGGAGTAGGCGCTGGTGTTGGAGATGAGGTGGGGCTCATCTGTATCCCCACGGCGGGGTCCAGGCCTTGCTCTCAGGCTTAGGGTCACCTCTGAAAGTTCACTTCACCTCCCTTCCCCAGCACCATCGTTCCTAAGGGAGCTCTCGGATGAGATGGTGGTCCTGGGCCAATCTGTGACTCTGGCCTGCCAGGTGTCGGCCCAGCCAGTTGTACAGGCCACCTGGAGTAAAGGTAAAGAGCTCTCCTGAGGCTGAGGGGCAGGGAGGCAGGGGGCGCTCCTTTAGGGCATTACTCTCATTGTACAGAGGGAAACTGAGGCTCGGAGAGGGTGTGGGCCCCGGGTGTGACCCTGAGGCAGGGCACCTGTGGGGGGCTTCTCTCGAGGTCCACTCCGTCCTGCTGCAGATGGGGCTCTTCTTGAGAGCAGCAGCCGCCTCCTCATCTCCTCCACGCTCAAGAACTTCCAGCTGCTGACCATCCTGGTGGTGACCGCTGAGGACCTGGGCGTGTACACGTGCAGTGTGCGCAATGCGCTGGGGACGGCGGCCACCACAGCCATTCTCCGGAAGGCTGGTGCGTAGGCCGAGCAGGGCCCAAAGAATGTGATGCTCACCACCCAGGCATCCACATCTTGGCGCTACCAGGGCCTGGAGGGGTCACAGAAGGCAGTAGCCGGCTCTGCAGACCGGGACTCCCGGGAGGGGACGCAGGAGGCAGGGTGACACAGCTGGCCAGGCCTTCTCCCTGGCACCCCTTTGGGTGCTCCTCTCCTTGCATTTCCCACGGTACCTCCCTCCCTGTTTCTCCAGCAAATGCAGGAAGAGGCGGCTTCCCATTTTGTATCTCTATTATAGTCAAAGCAGGCTCTCAAAACACAGCGCTGGGGTGTGTTTCTGGGGGAGCCAAGACAGAGGCTGCAGGCCTAGCTCTCAGACCTCTGACCTGGTCCCCAGAGGGGGCGAACCCCCACAAGCCCTGCACCGCAGCCCAGCAAAATAGAGGCCCCTCTGACTAGAGGCTGGGATTGGTGGCGGGCTGTGAGCAAGGGCCATTCCATGGGGTTCCTGGGTGGGCACCTGTGGGAGGGGAGCCTGGCGGGGTTGGGTAGGGCAGACACCTCCTGAGGCCCCTCAGAGGAGAGGCGTTGAGCCCCTCCTACTAGTCAGCATTAGAAGGGACCTCTGAGTGAACTGGACCAAGTGAGGGTGGGCTCAGGGGCCTGGCAGCAGGGTGCAGGAGGATGAGGCAGGGCTGGCTGGGGCTCAGAGCTTCATTAGAGAACTCCTGGGAGCCCGCCTCAGATTGCTGTCTGTGGGCCCTGCAGAGCGCCCCTCTTCCTCCCCACGCCCGGACATCGGGGAGGTGTATGCGGACGGGGTGCTGCTGGTCTGGAAGCCTGTGGAGTCATATGGCCCTGTGACCTATATTGTGCAGTGCAGCCTGGAAGGTATGGGGCCACTCCTGAATCCTCACATCCTGGGTGGCCCGAGGGTCACTGTGGGGGCACCGTGGGGAAGCGCCTGGCTGCTCTGCGCCCCTGGGTGGCCTGCGCGGGCCTCTCCACCCTGACATGGAGTGGAGAGGCCTTGGGCTGCCTCTCACCCGCTCCTGTGTGGCCCAGGCGGCAGCTGGAGCACGCTGGCCTCGGACATCTTTGACTGCTGCTACCTCACTGGCAAGCTTTCTCGGGGCGGGGTGTACACCTTCCGGACGGCCTGTGTCAGCAAGGCGGGCATGGGCCCCTACAGCAGCCCCTCGGAGCAGGTCCTCCTGGGAGGGCCCAGCCACCTGGGTGAGCCACTCTGCAGGGCTCTACGGAATGTGCCCTGCCACTTCAGTGAGTCACACGCTCACTTGGGATGGTTGGATCTGCCTGCTAGGCCCCCCACCCACAAATGGCCTGAGGAATGAGAGGTCAGAGTGTTCGGGGGTTCAAAGAGGGCTTTGAGGTCGCCTGGGAAGGGGTGATGGGAGAAAAGGCTGGGGGAGACGGGGCTGCAGGGGTGCCCTCCGCCAGTCATCGGCTTCCCCTTCCCACAGCCTCTGAAGAGGAGAGCGGTGCCTCAGGGCCAGCCCAGCCGCTCCCCAGCATGCAGACCTTCGCCTTCCAGACGCAGATCCGAAGGTGCGGGCCCTCCGGGGAGGGCGCGTGGCAGCGCCATGGCCCCACTAGCTCTTCGTGCTCCCGCCCCAGCCCCATCTTCTCTCCCCTCTGTTCACTTCCACTACATTTGCCTCAGCGCATCTGCCACCCCCTCCTGGACCTTACCCCTGGGCTTGCTTCTCTGAGATTGGGGTCCAGCCCGGGCCACCGGGCGGGCTGGCTCCTCACCAGCCTGGCCCGTGCTTCCTCCCTAGGGGCCGCTTCAGCGTGGTGCGGCAGTGCCGGGAGAAGGCCAGTGGACGCGTGCTGGCTGCCAAGATCGTGCCCTGCCACCCTGAGGACAGGAGTGCCGTGCTGCGGGAATACGAGACCCTCAAGGGCTTGCGCCACCCCCACCTGGCACAGCTGCAGGCTGCCTACCTCAGCCCCCGACACCTGGTCCTCATCTTGGAGCTGTGCTCTGGGCCTGAGCTGCTCCCTTGTCTGGCCGAGAGGTGAGAGGGCGGGGCCTGGCCTGGATTCGGGGCTCAGGACCTGGCCACCAGCACTGTGGTCCACCTCCGGCCCACCTCCTGGCCCCGCCTGCACCGGCCAGCCGACCAGGGTGGCTCAGCAGAGCTGGGCCTTCCCTCCTAAGCCCAGCAGGGAAGTCTGGTGCTTCCCCGTGGCCCCTTAGCTGTGGACAAAGCCTGGGTGCCCCTCCCCACATGCCCCCTAACTGGCCCTCTGCCCCTAGGTCCTCCTACTCGGAGTCAGAGGTGAAGGACTATCTGTGGCAGATGCTAAGTGCTGCCCAGTACCTGCACGCCCAGGGTATCCTGCATCTAGACCTCAGGTCCGAGAACATGATTGTCACAGAGTACAACCTGCTCAAGGTCATCGACTTTGGAAACGCCCAGAGCTCCTCCCAGGAGAGGGTCCTGCCCTCGGAGAGGTTCAAGGACTACATGGAGACCATGGGTGCGCAGGGTGCAGACACCAAGCCTGATCTGGGGGAGGGGTGTGCCAGGAGCAAGCCCTTCCCCCAGCCCTGTCTCCCTGCCTGCTCCACTGCAAACACCCAGCCCCTCACCTGTGACCCCCACCCATGCCGTCCCCAGCTCCAGAGCTCCTAGAGGGCCAGGGTGCCCTCGCGCAGACCGACATCTGGGCCATAGGTGTCACAGCCTTCATTATGTAAGTCTCCACGTGCCCTGTGGACTGGGAGGGCTGGCTGGAAAGGCAGGCCTGGGGTACACTGAGGGTGACCCCAGGTCCCTGTGACTCCCATCCATTGAGGGTGACCTCAGTCACTTGACCCCCACCCACTCAGGTTGAGCGCTGAGTACCCGGTGAACAGCGAGGGAATGCGAGACCTGCAGAAAGGGCTGCGCAAGGGGCTCATCCAGCTGAGCCGCTGCTACGCGGGGCTGTCCGGAGGCGCTGTGGCCTTCCTCCGAAGCACGCTGTGCGCGCACCCCTGGTAGGCACCCCCACCTACCCTGCCTGGCCCATCCCCCTGTGACCTGACCTGCCCGTCGTGGGCGGGAGCACGGCTAACGCCACCCTCCCGCGTGCTCCAGGGGCCGCCCATGCGCGTCCAGCTGCCTGCAGTGCCCGTGGCTGACCGAGGAGGGCCCCGCCAGCTCCCAGCCTGCAGCCGTGACCTTCCCCACCGCAAGTCTGCGCGCCTTCGTGAGAGAGCGCGAGAAGAGGCGGGCGCTGCTGTACAAAAAACACAATCTGGCCCAGGTGCGCTGAGCGCCTGGCCCTGCGGGACCGCACCTCTGTCTTTCAGGACTCCCTTCACATGTATACACACATCAATAAAAAGCAGAACTGGATGAGGCGCTCTCTGTTTCATTATTTTGTTTGGGGGAGGGGGTGAGGGCCCTGCCACCTTCCTGGTGTTTGGGGGAGGGCAGAAGTGCCCTTCTCTGTCCCGGCTGTGTGCTCGCAAAGACTTCATTAGGACTAGAGCCCTCTGAACCAGTTCAATGTGGAGGCAGCTCCATGCTCTTGCGGGTGTGTGCGTTTCTACTAACCGTGTCAGTGCTGCATCACACATGGACACAAGCCCAGGTAGTTTGCCGGGAAAACCTGATTGTGGGCACGTATCAAGGATTCCGACTTGTTCCACCGCAGCACCATTCCTGGGGTGGGGGAGGAGCTCAAGCTGGAGCGCGTGGACTGCAGACACTACCCTCTTAGTTCTCAGCGAGTCTCACGGGCGTGGTGACAGAGACATGCTGGTAAATCCAGCCCTCCTTGCTTTCCCCATCTCCAGACAACGGTGTCCGCACACTGGACATCCACCCCTTAGATCTTACTTGAACACAAAACACTTCATCTAAAAACCGAACATCTCCAAAAGTGAACTGCCTCCCCGCCCAGCTCCCCCCCACACACACCACACAACTTTCTGCAGACTCAGTAAACAGGGCCACTCAACCAATCCTTAAGCCCAACCGCCTGGGTCCTGGGCACTGTGACCTTACGTTGCCACGTCAGCAGCTGACCCCACTCCATCCCCTCATTGGTTCACCTGGCAAGGCAGGAATGGAGGTGGGAAGGGAGCCAAGGTGGGCGCAGGCTCTGTGCTCTCTTGGGCTGGTAGGGTTCTGCTGTTAGCAGAGAGGCTTCTCCCTTAGCTCTTCCCATCCGCATTCCTCCCATCCCCCCACCCCACCAGCGTGGCTCCATTAACAGCCCCACACCACTCTCCTATCCTCTGTGCTCTACCAATTCATCCCTCCCTGTCTCTTAACCCCTGGCAACCACTGAAAGAATTTTTGTTTTTGTTTTTCTTTTTAACTATCTCCATAGTTTTGCCTATTCCAGAATGTCATATGGTTGGAATCATACGGTATATAGACTTTTCAGATTGGCTTCTTTCACTTAGTAATAATTTAAGGCTCCTCCAGTTGTTTCATGGCTTGATAGATAATTTTTTTCTTCAGTTTTATTTTTGTAGTAATAAATTTATCATCTTAAGTGTTTTAAGAGTAGAGTTCAGTAGTTATATATTCATAATGATTGCAACCATCACCACCATTCATCCCCAGAACTCTTTTCATCTCATAAAACTGAAATTTTATATCCATTAAATACTAACTCGCCATTCTCCCCTCTCCTCAGCCCCTGGCACCCACCATTCTACTTTCTGTCTCTATGAATTTGACTACTCTAGGTATCTCATATAAGTGGAATCATACAGTATTCGTCCTTTTGTGACTGGCTTATTCACTTAGCATAATGTCCTCAAGATCCATCCATGTTATAGCATATGGTGGAATTTCCTTCCCTTTGAAGGCTGAATAATACTCCATTGTATGTATATACCACATTTCACTTATCCGTTGATGTACACTTGGGTTGCTTCCATGTTTTAGCTAGTGTGAATGTTGCTGCTATGAACATGGTGTACATTTATCTCTTCTAGAACCTGCTTTCAATCCTTTTGATTATATACCCAGAAGTGGAATTGCTGGGTCATATGGTAATTGCATTTTTAATTTTTTGAGGGAACTCCCTAGGGTTTTGCACATTGGTGGTATCATTTTACTTTCCCTACCCTAC